AAAAGGAATGTCAGAAATGTTACAATTATGTATATAAAGGTTACAAGTCGAACAGTTCAAAAAGGTAGTAAACAAACCTGGAGCTGTGTGAGGTTACACACATTAAAGCAACTGATCCAGCTTGTGAACGAATAACAACTGTGATTTGATTTTAAAATCCCAGGAACCACTACATGCAAAAACCTGTAAAGGACCAAGAAAGCTTTATCCTTGCTTCTGTTTAAATCCTCATTTTTCCTACTCGCCTCTCCCATTGTCATAGTCTTTTTCTCTGGAAGGCAAGTGAAGGTGAATTTTCCCTTCCCCTTCTTTTGTTTTAAACTGCAATAAAAAGAGTAACAGCTGCAGGAATAAGGCTGGGAAGAGAAGAAAGTATACCTTGTTGATCCAGAAAATTTACAGCCCTTTGAAAACATAAAATTCATGCTGCTTATGATAAATAACTTTGCATTTTGTATCAGTAAACTTTTCCTTGTGCATTTCTTTGTATTTTCACCATCCCTTTTCCTAGGAAAAAGTGGCAAATGACTACCCAATCTTTACTAAACTCACTATAAAAACCAATTTATTCCTCAAGATGGATTTATCATAGATCTACTCAGGAATCAGGCACATCGATGAATGTCTGCATCCTTACTCTTAAGTTTTCTATCTATCCATTACTGCTGCAATTTATTTAACTGATGAATACCAGTATAGGCTAATCACCTGCTGACCTGTGCTTTGTGTTTTGGTTGAGACCAAAGGACTGATTTTGAATTAAGTGTTATGTGTGTAAGAGATAATTTATTTCAGATAGTAAAAAACAACAACAAAAGAATTATCCAAGAGTTCATTTATGCATATATGTAACTCAGGACATAAATCATGCTCCTACACAGGAAGTAAGAGTGAATATTAATAGTATTAGGAAGCAGCACAAGTAGTATGAAATTAAATACCAGAGAAAGATAAAAGTAAATGATGAAAGAAATTCTAACAGATATAATGTACAGTATGATTTTGGGTAACTGATGTTCCTTTAAGTCGACACTACTGAATTCTAAAAAAAGGCAACTAAGTGGGTCTGACTTCAATCATTTGACATCAACTGGAAAAATCAGAGTCCATCTTCCAGTAGATGCACATTGGCTGACAGGGAGAAAACCACAATTTTATTAACATGAATTCTACCATTCAGTCTCCAAAAGGATTTATCACACATTACAAAGAATTACAGCAGATAAAACATTTAAAGGATGCAGTCCAAGGCTGTTGTGATGCACTGTGGCCTTCCCTCTGAGCAGCTGCTCTTTCATGGACAGACAAGGTTACTTACCTGCATTTTTTGGTGTGCATATGTATAATTCACCTATTCCTTTGTTGAACTCTGTCCTACTGTTAAAATATCTTCCATTTTGTAAAAGCAAATCTAATCTCTTCCCAAAAGTTATTTGATATCTCTGAAACAAAATGTAAAGGACTGAACTTCAAATCTAGTGCTACACTGAATAACCGAACTCTGTGAGAACAGGTGCCTGCATTAATCCTGCCATACCTAGTGTGCCTAGAGAATAAACTGCTGGAGTCTCATTCTGATAACAAATACCCAGCTGATACACTGCCAGCACAAGGAAAGTACTTCCATACCAGCTCTCTTCTGATTTAATTAGTGCATCTTATCGTCTATGTGCCTTTGAACATGACATATGAAGCATGAACAAGGAGCTATGGCACATGAAGATTATATTGGATATAATGGAAGAATGAAATAAAAGAGGCCTCATTCCACTTCAAATGGTCAGTAATTGAAAGGCTTGTCCCCTTCTGATTAACACCTTTTTGCATTCCCTGTTGAACTGTTTTTACAGGCACAACTTTCTTTGTACTACTAGTGCTTAACTATAAAGAAAACATAGGCTTGATTGGAACCTCCAGTCTTAGCCCACACAAAAAAGTACAGTTTTAGGGTAACATGAATGCATCTATAAATTCCTTAAACATTTACCTATAAATGAACATTTAGATCTGTTACTAAATACTATCAGTCAACAGTGAACTTGATTTCAAATTAAAACTTAAATTCATTGTGCTTATCAAATACATTATGCTTGACCAAAAAATGTACAGAACTTTCTAGTGTAGGGACTTTATGACTTTCTGTTGCTTGATATGCAAAAACCAAAAGGTATAATAATTACAATATAAGCATAAAAAATTAAAACTCATGACACAAATATGATGGAATTTATCTCTCACATTTCATGCCTATCTCCTATATATTCAAACCCAAGCCAGCTGTCAAAGGATTCATTTCTTAGTCAGCTGAGATTATAAATTCCTTGAGAGATACAAGTCCATTCAACCCAGAAAGTAATTTTAGGATGAAATGAATCTTCCTCTGGAGATGCTCATTTCCTCCTATACTTTGCTATATACTTTTAGTAGAATATCCCTTTATGTAAGGCAGTGTGCATATCATTCAAAGTACACCCAAAAAATTGATCATAAAATGTGATGCAGACTCTTAAAAATCTGCTTTCCAGGGATTTGCCTTGTTAGTGCATTCATCTGCTACAGCAGCCAAACTTCATGAAGTACATAATGGTTTGAAGCAGTGACTGTATAAAACTGCCCAAACCAGACCTTGATTTAATAGAGTTCAGATCAACTCTGAAAAATAGGAAGCTGGAACTATAAAGCTGCGAGATATCAAAAGTCAACCAATCAAAGGTAATCATGCTGGAAACTTATTTTTTAATGCAGAGGCTCAAACCTGGACTTAATCAACAAGAACAAGCTCTTCTTACAAATGGTTACTATGAAAGATGTATTCAATGTGCCAGCTTTATTGCAGGTATAAAAGTAATTTCTACAGTTTAGCTTTATACCTGTATTATGGATGGAAAAATGGACATGAATTAAACAAGAAGTCATTAAATTACATAGTGAGAACTGCATAGTCCATTAACATGAGTAATATGACAAAATCCAAGTGGTAAGCAATAAATTTACCTCTGCAGTCAGCTTCATTTATAAAAATAGCATTTCTCGAGTACTGGGTAAATACCAGCAAAAACACCTACACATAAAGTGAAAATTTCATGTAACTGCAGAGAACAGCTCAATAAGGATGTGCAGTTGAGGATGACAAATGTGCAAAATTCCCTATCAGAAGCCTGGGGCATGTAAAACGCTACTGATTTAAGGGTTCCGGCATGTGAATGTCAGAGGTCAAAGCAATGAGCTATTAAAGATACTTTCACTTCCTCAGAAATAAAGTGCTGTCTTGGGCTGGGAGGGGAAAGGTTAGAAAAGCTGTTTATCTGCCGCTCCATTCCCATTCTTCCTTCTGTCAGGAAATTCTACAAGCTCCTGCACCCCACGCAGGGTTAACCCTGGGTCACATCCAGCCCCCAAGTAAGTTCCCGGCTTTGATTAAAGTGCAAAGACCACATGGCCACAGGTTGCACTTTCTCACTGCAGGGTTTGGTAAAGCTCAGCTCAGCAAAGCCTCGGTGGGACAGAACAGCCCAGACTCCAGCACGTTACTGCTGAGGGAAGAGCGCAGCCGCAGCCATCGGTTTGCATAAATTACAGGGGTCATTAACAAAGAGAAAATGTTACTTTGTCAGAGCTAAAACTGGAATAAGAACTACAAATATATGCCCAGGGCAGACTGTTAAACCAGCGGGAAACCTGCAGAGAGGGGAGAGACGTTGTCCCCTCCAAGGAGCCACGGGGCACATTCAGGACAGCCCAAGAGGAGTGTAATAAGGAAAGAATCCACAAAGATGCCAGGAGACTGTGGAGACAGGGATACACTGTTGGGCTGCAGAGGTATGAGCAGAAAGAAACTGCCTGGAGCTGGAAAGGATGCCAAGACATTTGCTGAGATGCAGAAAACTACGAACGGCTGCTGGATTAGGTGCAAAGCTGAAGGAAAACACCTGTTGCAGGCAAACAGTGGGCAAGGGGAAGTCTAATTTTAGTATCTTTCTATTAAAAATATGTCTTATAGACATGAATATGTAGAAATATATATAAAATATATATTTTATACACACATATTTATAATATGTGCTGTATGCCATTCTGAATTTCATCATTTTACATAAGTTTTTAGTTTTAGTTAATGTAGTACCAGAACTTAGCTTGAAACTTAAAAAGCCTTGTCACTGCTAAAAAGGCTCATTACAAAGAAGATGTGTAGGAACCTGCAGCTCAAAGCTCTAGCTGATCCAAGGACTCATCAGATGCAAATATTAGTTATAACATGTATTAGCATAAGCTGTATACGTTAGTTCCACATAATGTCCATTCTAACATGTGCAGGTAATTTCATTCAAATCACAGAATCATTCAGGTTGGAAAAAACCTCTGAGATGTATCAAGTCCAACCATTAAGCCAGCACTGCCAAGACCACCACTAAACCCTGTCCCTCAGTGCCACATCTACATGTCTTTTAATGGCTATAATAAGAAAAACACACTTTTTATGAACCTAAAGGTGGTATGTCAGATTATACCTTTCTCTACAAAGGTACAGTCATTTGTCAGATGGCAAATTCATGCCATGGTGTAAAATGCCATGATTTATTTCTTAAAAGGAGCTGTTGAACTTCAATAAAATATAGAGAGGAAAAATTTAGAATTGTTTCTGACAGATGCAATTCAAAACAACCTCATTTGTATAACACTTTCAGTGGCTTTCAATATATTAAAATATTCCATATTTTGGCATTATTTTTGACAGAAATCAAAACATCACATAGAAGGAATATTAAGACATAAATCCTAAGCAAATAATGCATTACAAATAATAGAACATTTAAAAAAAAGAGAGCAAGGCAGTTTTTAGAAGAATAGCCAGCTATTTTAACAACTTAAACACTCTCAGTTTCTGTGTTTTATTTGTTCCTAAACCCTGGACAATCTGTTATTAGTCATTAGATCAGAAAAATATAATGTGGATTGAAGGAGTTTTAGAGTGCAGGCTATTTTGCCAGTTATATTCTTACCAAATTTATCAGCTGAGTGTGGACAATGTCTTCCACCAGAATTGCGGTTTCATGGAGCGGCCTGCGAGCATCTCCCAGGGAAAACCTGGAACAAAGAGGTTTATTGCAAGGTTATGGAAGTAAGTTACAAAGAAAAGAGGTATTGGTCTCTTGAAAGATAAAAATAAGAAAATATGAGTAATAACAATAAGGTTAATACACATTTATGTACAGAAATGGATCATTCAGCCTGGTGCAAGGATTATAAACCAAAGTAATGTGATTAGTGGAACAAAAGAGCTGCAAGAATGTACACTAAAGCATATGTGGAGACAAACTGAATGATTGAGGAAACAGAGGAAAATCCAGTTTGTAGGAACATTTGTGTACAACCCTCGTCAATAAACTACGCTGGTAAACTTACAACAATGGATGAGGAGAAGACTGACATACTCCACTTTTTTGCCTCAGTCTTCACTGACAAACTCTCTTCCCACACTTCTCTGGATGATATTTAATGTCCTTTCCAATCCAACACATTCTATAATTCTATAATTCAGTGAGAAAAGAGCAGGCAAAGCTGCAGCATATGCACAACTAATTCTGCATTTGCAGACACCTTTGTTTACAAAATTACCAAATATTTATTTGAAAAGGTAAATTGCCAACAGATTTTTTTATCCCAAATCTAAATGCTGGTGCAATGTGGAAGAAACAAATAAAGGGTAAGCAATTTTATACATAATAATGTATATGAGGCTCCTAATGTCTACACTGCAACATGAAATGGCAGGAGGTCATAAAGAGATTATAGTGTTCAAATAATATCACAAACAAAAGGCAAGGCGAGGACAGCAAGCAGCATAAAATGAGGAATTGTGACAATGGGCTTTGCAAGGTATTTTCTCCTCTTCCTACTTTTCTTGCACTTCTTTTTCTGCTATTTCTTCTTCTCTAAGAAATTCCAGTCTTACATCATTCTAGAGAAAGACAACTCCTATGTTGTTTAGTATTTCCTCAGAACATTTCTGAGAATAAAACATTTTCTCTCTTCCTGAAGTTGATTTTTTAAAATACAAAATCTTGTACAGTAAAATATATTAATTGTAAATTAAATAGCACAGGCCAACAATAACACTACAGATTCTTATAAAAAGAGTGAAAAATTATTTATAAGCAAGACTCAAATCTTCATAGGTGATTGAATATATCAATTCTTTCCTTGCAAAAGTATTAGTCTACCTTGCAATATAGTAAACCGATATTTTATCTATAAATAATTAGAGAGCTCTATAAGAGGGTTCTTTTCCTTTATCTAATAATGAAATTATCTCTAGTGTTCTGCAAACAGAATTTCAAATTCTAATAATAAATTAATAATAAATATCAGCCTGGTATGTGCGAGAGTACAACATGAGCTACTCAGGCAAAATCTGAACACAATCCACTGCACTGGTCACAGCATGAGGAAATTACACTCTGTATTTGTCCCTTATAATTTGTCTCTCTTGTTGGGACTATCAGCATCTTAAAGACAAAACTGTGTTTTATAAAATGCAGTACATTTCTAAAATGAGCACAACTCAATTTTTTCTTCATTATGCAGGGCTGCACACGTACATGGATTAGAATGGCAGGCTTATAGGACTATAAGGACAGCACAGCAATCCATCCAGAGACTATAAAATATCTTATAAACTGTGAAGACATGGACATGATATAGGAAATACATAGAAATAGAAATATTTATTATCATAGTACATTGGAAGATTAAACAGTATTTAAACCATCACAGATTCAAAAAAAAAGTGCTCATATAGGATAAAGCTCAAGTTTTTCTTTTTTCTTTTTTTTTTTTTACAAGTAAAGTTTGTAAGTAAATGAAAACGACAATTAATATTTGTTTCTAATCACACAGGGTATATAAAACCAAACAGAAGAGTTATTACAAATATACTGTTCACTCTTAACTGCTGTTCTTCTATTTTTTAAAGTAATTATTCTTTTTTTTTAAAGTTTCAAATACAAAATAAAACAACTATGCAAGACAGTAGTAGACACCTAGTGCCCAACATAATCAGCATGGACATACACTTCTCATGTTCACAGTTTACTCAGCACCCCAAATATACAAATTAAAGGGCTTGGGGTGTCTTTTCCAAAGACAACAGAGTGCAAGAACCAGAATCTGTTTTTGAGGCAGAATGCTGCCTCTATATTGAGCTCCCCTCCCCATCTGCATTCAGAAATCTTTCTCACTAGTAATTGTTCCCCAAATGGCAGGACGGGCAGAGGAGTTGCAATCATGATGCACCACACCAATGCAAAAGGAAACAAAGATCAAATTTCTTTGGTCCATTGCGATGGACAACTCAGGATAAGGCACAATGGCTTCAAACTGAAAGAGGATGGATTAGAACAGGTACCAAGAGGAAATTCTTTCCTTTGAGGGTGGGGAAGCCCTGGCACAGGGTGCCCAGAGAAGCTGTGGCTGCCCCTGGATCCCTGGCAGTGTCCAAGGCCAGGCTGGACAGAGCTTGGAGCAACCTGGGACAGTGGAAGGTGTCCCTGCCCATGGCAGGGGCTTGGAACTGGATGATCTTTAAGGTCCTTTCCAATCCAATCCATCCTATGATAGACCAGAGTTGATGCTCAGACATGAAGAAAGATTAAAATCAACTGCACTTCTTGATTCAATAAAAAATCAAGCTCCAGATGCACATACTTTCTTCCTCCCTTACTTCCATGCTCTCTACCTTCCAAAGCTATTTCTATCTCAGTTTCCCTTACTGTTTTCCCATGTAACTTCTGCCAGCTTCTTTCCCACACGCAGAAAACGAGATACTGGCATGGTTGTTTCAGCAAAAAGTAAAAATCACCACACCCACCCACAGCCGCTTCCTTTTTCTTTGCATTGGATCCAGGATTTTCAGATACTAAAATCAAAGTAAAGCTTTTATATTTATTAATTGTATTTGTATAGCATTTGATATGTCTCTTGATTCTAACATGCTTTTAGGATAACATTTTTAAGATACCAAACACAGCCTTTTTTATGTCTTTCTGCTACCAGAGGTAATAATTAGAAATGCACAAGTAGCATATTACTTTAACTCTTACATTTTTTTCCTTCACTTTTGCATTGTATCTCTCCACAGCAGAATAAACACTAAACTATGAGTCAGATGGCTCAGATTTTCCCAAGTTGCAGAATACAAAGTAGTTTAAGAACTAAAAGAAAACCTCTTTAAAAAAAAGACCCCCAAATTTGGTGCCCTTGCTTCTGGGAAGTGAAGCTGAACTTGATGCTTTAATATAAGTTATGATTTTCATTTCACATGTGCTTTTGCTTTTATGGTTCATGAGAGTCTTTTAAAGAACCTTCCATTCACTAGACATATTAATAAGTCTTCTTATGAAACACATAAAAATTCTGTTGAAAATAAAAAAAAAGAGCTGTTTCTCCACAGGTAAATACTGAAGAGGAAATATATCAAAATACAACGTTAGCAGGGCATCAAAGCAGTAAAGTATTATGGAAGACAGTCATGGTAATAGAAGCATCGACCCATTAGACATGTCCTACAATAACAAAGCCTTCTTAGAAGATCCTATTTCAAAGGTTTGTCTGTTTTAAGGAAACATTTTTACAAGGGGGGGATCAACTTACCCAGATTTTCACAGGAGGATTAAAATAGTAGCATGGAGAAAGAAAAGACTGCTGCAGCGCTTTTATTGCTTACTTTTAGCTTCTATTTCTAATTTATTTAAGTTCCTGTAATGATGTTTCCAGGCTCTTCAAAAGGGTAAATGTCCAAGCCACTAAGTGCCTACATGAAGTATCATGGTACTATGTGTAAACACACGCTCATACTTGGCACATGCTAAGGTCTGACTGCTGCTCATGGTGCAGGGACTGACATTTATAAGAACTTCAAAATCGGCAGCTACAGAAATAGATAAAGCACTTTTTGCTGTATTTTCGGGGGTTTAAATGCCTGAGAAAGATGTTGGGGCAGGCAAGGCAAAGGCTTGGTTCAAACACCCTGATGCAGAGCTCTCCAGGTGGCCAGACCACCAGGAGAGCAGACTGTGGAGACAGAGAGCTGCTGCAACCTCCCGTCCTCCACAGCCTCGAAAAGCTGTCCTGGCCAGAAAGGAACTATAACCAGGGTGGCTGGGAGTGCACTGAGCTAGAATAAACAGTTTCCCTCACTGGGGTTTCTACTGAGTTCACACCATAACAAGGCTGCCCCAACGCATTCAGAATTTACCACCTCAAATAAATGCGATGAATCCAGCCTAGGGAAAGTATAAAAGCAGCCAGGTAGTCTGGTGGGAAATATGTGCTGCTGTTTTTTTGTTTGGTTTGGTTTTTGGGGTTTTTTTTTTGGTGTTGTTGTTTGTTTTTTTTTTTCTTCTAGAAATCCCTAACAATTCTTTTCTATTTCTGCATAGAATGAGTGTGTGCCCAGGTGGGCAAGAAGGCACCTGGCTTGTGACAGCAATAGTGTGGCAGCAGGACCAGGGCAGTGACTGTCCCTGTGCTGGACAGAGGTGAGGCCACACCTCGAGTGCTGTGTCCAGTTCTGGGCCCTTCACAACAAGACAGACACTGGGAGGCTGGAGCATGTCCAGAGAAGGAACAGAGCTGGGGAAGGGTCTGGAGCCCCAGGAGCAGCTGAGGGAGCTGGGAAAGGGGCTCAGCCTGGAGAAAAGGAGGCTCAGGGGGGACCTTGTGGCTCTGCACAACTCCCTGACAGGAGGGGACAGCCAGGTGAGGGTCAGGCTCTGCCCCCAGGTAACAAGGGACAGGATGTGAGGAAATGGCCTTGACTTGTGTCAGGGGAGGTTTAGATTGGCTATTAAAATGATTTTCTTCACAGAAAGGTTGGTCAAGCACTGGAACAGGCTGCTCAGGGCAATGGTGGAGAGATTTAAAAGACTTGTAGAAGTGGTTCTGAGGGACGTGGTTTAGTGACTGACCTGGCAGTGCTGGGTTAGTGGTTGGACTCAACGATGCTAAAGGGTCTTTTCCAAGCTGAATAAATCCATGATTCCATGATCCAAACTGCCACAGGGCAAGCAAATACTTCTGTCCTCACA